CAGGTTCGAATGCTCACTCTTCCAGGGAAGCTTGCTGCTTGACCTTGGGCCAGTCACATATGCTCAGGCTAACGTCTGGCTCTTCGGCTTTGAAACAGAGATGAGCACCGCAACCCTAGAGTCGGATTCGACTGGCTTTCGAGCAAGGGAAACATTTACCTTTTAAGGTGCTTCTGGACTCTTGCTCTTTTCTGCTGCTACAGACAGACTCACAGGCAATGCTCCCTCTAAGAAGAAGAAGAAGAGATTGGATTTATACCCCGCCCTTCACTACCCAAGGTAGTCTCAGAACGGCTTACAAACGCCTTTCCCTTCCCCTCCCCACAACAGACACCCTGTGAGGTAGGTGGGGCTGAGAGAGCTCTGAGAGAAACTGCTCTTTTTTTAGAACAGCTATGCCAGAACTGCGGCTTGCCCAAGGTCATCCAGCCAGGTGCGAGTGGAGAGCGGGGAATCAAACCCGGTTCTCCCAGATTAGAGTCCGCGCACTTAACCACGACACCAAACTGGCTCTAAGCTGTGGAGTCTTGTGAACAAAAATTCCACTTTGTGAGCTGCTGGCATTAAAGTTGTGAGCAATCTGGCTACTGCATACATTAGTTTGCTCTGGAGCCCTCCTTCCTGAGCAAAGACGAAAATGTGTGAGCTGGAGGCTAAAGAAACGGTGAGCTAGCTCACACTCATTCAGCTGAAGAGGGAACCCTGCTCACAGGGTGACCCATCTTGATTGCCCTCAGGCTAAACTACCTCAAAGGATTAGCGTGAGAATAAAAGGGAGGATAGGAGAACGGTTAGGTTGCTTTGGGGTCCCCATTGTGGAGAAAAATAGGGCATAAATAAATATATTTGGACTTTCTGCTCCTTAGTTCTGAAAACACATCCTGCATATCAACAACAGCAAGAGTACCCAGCGCCACAAACTGCAGTTTAAAAATATATATATATATATTTGCGTTGCAGTTATCAAAAGTAAAATATTAACTTGCATCCTTCCAAAAAATAAAAATAAAAAGTATGTATCATACCCTATGCTTCAACATTATGACAAATTGCAACGCCCACCGCCTTTAATTAGACTATGAATATTTTATGGCAATTCTGCCGGGTGGATCAACATTTCAAAGGGAGAGCAGGGGCCCTCAACAGATTGAAATCAAGAAAACAGAGTTTTTCTTAATGAGATAATTAGATCAGCTCCAGACTTTGAAAACTGAGCAAGGTTTTCGCATTAAAAGAGACAGGCTCCCTTGGCCCCGTATTAACTGGGATACGTCCTGGCGGTGTGAGCTTCAAGGGAAAAAGAAAACAGATGTTTCTATTTAGTTGATGTTTAATGATTTTGCCTAAATACCGACTCTTCGTCTGTAGCTTGCAGGGGAAGAAAAGCAAGCCATTCAGGAGTTGACATTTCCCTTCTTTTTTAAAAAAACCCTACTATTATTTTTTAAGGCTGAGGACTTAACCGGGGCGTTTGCATCGAGAGTAATCTCTGTGCGATCTATTTGCAGAAAACATTCAGAGATCGGCATGCAATAAAATGCCAGAACGCTGGAGGAGCCGAGCACGTGACTGGATTTGGAACAAGGAAGCGCCAGCCGGATCTTTGCAAACACCGAGGCGCTGTAGTGAGGGTCCCTGACCTGGTGCCCGCCAAGACTTTTCAGAAAGTGGAACTTCTGCACAGCAAGAACTGGAGATCTGATTGGCTGCACAGATTGTTAAAGACGCTGCGTTAGCAGAAGCCACCACCGCAGCACAAGGATCTTCGCGGTGTGGCTGAGGCGAGCGGTGGCAGCCATTTTGTGGACGCGCTCATCACGATATGATAGAATTGCAAAGGTGTTCATAAGAACGTAAGAACATAAGAGAAGCCAATGTTGGATCAGGCCAATGGCCCATCCAGTCCAACACTCTGTCACACAGTGGCCAAAAACACCAGGGGCCATCAGGAGGTCCAGCAGTGGGGCCAGGACACTAGAAGCCCTCCCACTGTTCCCCCTCCCCCAAGCACCAAGAAGACAGAGCATCCCTTGCCCCAGATATATGAACATAAGTGAAGCCAATGTTGGATCAGGCCAATGGCCCATCCAGTCCAACACTCTGTGTCACACAGTGGCCCAAAATACCAGGGGCCATCAGGAGGTCCAGCAGTGGGGCCAGGACACTAGAAGCCCTCCCACTGTTGCCCCCACCCCCAAGCCTCAAGAATACAGAGCATCACTTGCCTCAGACTGAGAGTCCCTATCTGTACCTTGTGGCTAAGAGCCACTGATGGACTTCTGCTCCATATGCTTATCTAATTCCCTCTTGAAGCTGTCCATGCTTGTAGCTGCCACCGCCTCCTGTGGCAGTGAATTCCATGTGTTAATCACTCTTTGGGTGAAGAAGTACTTCCTTTTATCCGTTCTAACCCGACCGCTCAGCTATTTCATGGAGTGCCCACGAGTTCTTGTATTGTGAGAAAGGGAGGAAAGGACTTCTTTCTCGACCTGCTCTACCCCATGCATAATCTTATAAACCTCGATCATGTCACCCCTCGGCCGTCGTTTCTCCAAGCTAAAGAGCCCCAAGCGTTTTAACCTTTCCTCATAGGGAAAGTGCTCCGACCCATCTATCATTCTAGTTGCCCTCTTCTGCACTTTTCCCAATGCTATGATATCCTTTTTGAGATGTGGTGACCAGAACTGTACACAGTATTTCAAATCGATTTATACAGGGACATTATGATACTAGGCTGGGATCCCCTGCACTATAGACTGAGAGAGGAGAAAACTGTTTCCAGAATTCCACAGACACTTTAGCCCTTTATGGTCGTTACGATCTACCACATGTGTGTGGAGAACACAGCACAACACACCTCTTACGATACACACTAGTATAATCTCTCCTTCCACTCCAGTGTTTAACTCTTGTTATTTATATTTTGTACTTATTTTCCACTCCGGATTCAACTTGTTTTATTGATGTATTTGCGTGTTGTTTTTAACATTTTTAAAGATGGGATTTTCATTTGTGTTTTAACTAGTCAGCCACCTTGGTGGCCCTGCGGGGAGCAGAAATGGTGAGGTAAAAAATCTTGTCAAGAATAATTTTCTCTGAAAGGGGCTGTTAGGGAGGTCTTTTCAGCTCTGGTGCCCAAAACAGATTTTCCCTGACCACGATTCACAGGTACAAGCCGAAATGCGTGTGTTGTCACTCAGGCGTATCGGAAAGACGGTTTGCCATTTCAGACTGCACTGCTTCCCCCCCACCGTTTTTCACCCGCGTGGGTGATCTCTGGCTTTTTTTTTTTGAACGTTCGCTTTATAGTGCTATAGCGCTATAACAAAACACTCCAGGCATTCCAATGGGGTTGATATAATGCTGTTGTGTTATACCATTATAGCGCTATAGTGCTGTAACGCTATGAAGTGAATGTTCCAAAAAAAAGCCGGAGATGGACTGCGCAGGCGAAAAACGGCGGGGAAAAGTGCATCGGAACCAGGAGAGGAAACTGAAGACTACTTGGAAGCGGTTGACAGGTAAAACGCTTCAGCCCCATTTCCTAAACGGGACAGAAGCGTTTGTGTCTGAAATTACAAATATATTCTGGTAGGGAACTGGTTCTAAAACGATTCTGTCTGAAATAACAGTGTGTGTCGCATGATCTCCTCGTGCACGTAACAAAACACGGCTACCTGAAAAGACGTTTTATCATTTACTTTTTTCTGCATTCGTAGCTTGCTTTTCTTCCATGATGGAAGTCAGCACGGCTTATCAGTTAGTCTCAGACTAGGATCTAGGAATAATACATAATAATTATCTAGGGTTGCCAAGTTGATTTTCCCTACTTGTGGGGGAGCCTCGCTGGGCTCCGGGAGCTCTCCGTTGATGTGCGCGCACACGCTTCGCGCACGCACGCCGCCAGCATGTCACCGGAAGTGACGTGCGATGTCGAACACATTGAGAGCGTGGCCCCGATCATCGGAGGGAAAACCATAGAGTTTTCTCTCCGACGATTGGGGCCATGCCCCCAACGTGATCGACGTGGTTGCGTCATCTCTGGTGGACGCAGCCACGCTGCGCTTCGGGGGGCGGAGTTCCCCCCGGGGCCTGATTCTGCGGCGGCAGAAATCGGGCCTCTGAAGTGGGGGTTTACCCGCCACCCGCCCCCACTTGGCAGCCCTATAATTATCGTATGGCAATACGTGTAGTATAGCCTGGAGACCCTAAGATTGTCTGGCAGCCTTAAGTTCTAGCCCTTTTAGTGTTATGCACCACTAGGTGGCGAGCTAGACTTATTTTTTTGGGCTGAGGGCGCTCTGGAAGAGCTGTGACTTGCCCAAGGTCACCCAGCTGGCTGCATGTGGAGGAGTGCAGAATCAAACCCGGTTCTCCAGATTAGAGTCTGCCGCTCTTAACCATAACACCAAACAGGATCTAGGAGACCTCCAGGTTCGAATCTCCACTCTGCCATGGAAAGCTTGCCGAAGAACTCGGGCTGTCACTCGCTTTCAGCCCAATCTACCTCGCAGGGTTGTTGTGAGGATAAAATGCGGGAGAGGAGAACAACGGAAGCCACTTTGGGGGGATAGGAGGGGTATAAATGAGGTAAAATAAAATTTTAGTATGCACAAGATTATATTTTTATGTTTGGGAGGGCTCCAACAATCCCTTCCCTACCTCTGCAATTTAAACTTGCACAGGCCGGCAAAAGCTACACCCAGAACCTGCTCCAATAATAGATTCCTGCTCTGAGACAGGAACAGATAAGCCACCGCGGTCCACAGAGCACAAGAGACAATCAGTCGCTCCATTCAGTACATTGGCTTTTAGACACACATCAGAGAATTAAATAAATACTTCCATGAAAGTGATCTGAATTTTTTTTGCATTTGCCTATAAAGTAAAACAGGATCCCCCCCCCCGCTCTCTAGAACCTTGCAGGTTTCTGGCAATTACCCATAAGGAGCAACTCAACATGGGCCCCTGAGGCCCGCGAGACCCTTCGGGAGTCCTACCTTGGTTGCAGAGCGGGCCGAAAAACCCCGGCAGGCAGTCGCAGTGCCCAGTAACGTAATGGCACGGGACGGTGCTGTGGATACACTGAGGGCACGGCTGGCTGCAGTGATGCCCGTAGAAGCCAGGCGGGCAAACTGAAATACAACCAGGGGAGAAGCAAAAGTCAGGTCACCAGTCCTCATCGTTAACAAATAAAACCAGTAAGGATTTATACTTGAAAAGGAGAATCTGCTTTATCCGCTCTTTACCCCCACAACTGCTCGGGAAGATACACGAGCAGGATTCCCACCGAGAACCAGCACAGTGCAATTGCCAGAGGGTCTGACTAGGATCTGAGAGGCCCGAGTTTGAATCCCCACTCTGCCATGGGAACTCAAGGAGCGGTCTTGGGCCAGCCACACTCCCTCAGCTTAGCCTACCTCACAGGGTTGTTAAGAGGATAAAATGGAGGCGCAGAGAAGAATGCAAGCCACTCTGGGTCCCCACTGGGGGAAAAGGGGGAGGAATAAATGAAGTAAAATAAAAAAGAATAAAAATTTTAGAGCCAGGAAACAACATTAGGGAAAAGCCTCGGCCTCTCTGCCCTGTTGCTGGCCCTCCAGAGGAACTGGCTGGCCCCCGTGTGAGGCGGGAGGCTGGACTAGAGGGACCCTCATTGGTCTGACCCAGCAGGGCTCTTCTGAGGTTATCCTCAGGGGAAGGCCTCGGCCTCTGTGCCCTGTTGCTGGCCCTCCAGGGGGAATGGTTGGCCACTTGTGTGAGACAGGATGCTGGACTAGATGGACCTTCACTAGTTGGATCCAGCAGAGCTCTTCTGATGTTCTTCCCAGGGGAAGGCCTCGGCCTCTCTGCCCTCTTGTCGGCCCTCCAGAGGAACTGGTTGGCCACTGTGTGAGACAGGATGCTGGACTAGATGGACCCTCACTGGTCTGACCCAGCAGGGCTCTTCTCATGTTCTTATGAAGGCCTCGGCCTCTCTGCCCTCTTGTCGGCCCTCCAGAGGAACTGGTTGGCCACTGTGTGAGACAGGATGCTGGACTAGATGGACCCTCACTGGTCTGACCCAGCAGGGCTCTTCTCATGTTCTTATGAAGGCCTCGGCCTCTCTGCCCTCTTGTCGGCCCTCCAGAGGAACTGGTTGGCCACTGTGTGAGACAGGATGCTGGACTAGATGGACCCTCACTGGTCTGACCCAGCAGGGCTCTTCTCATGTTCTTATGAAGGCCTCGGCCTCTCTGCCCTCTTGTCGGCCCTCCAGAGGAACTGGTTGGCCACTGTGTGAGACAGGATGCTGGACTAGATGGACCCTCACTGGTCTGACCCAGCAGGGCTCTTCTCATGTTCTTATGAAGGCCTCGGCCTCTCTGCCCTCTTGTCGGCCCTCCAGAGGAACTGGTTGGCCACTGTGTGAGACAGGATGCTGGACTAGATGGACCCTCACTGGTCTGACCCAGCAGGGCTCTTCTCATGTTCTTATGAAGGCCTCGGCCTCTCTGCCCTCTTGTCGGCCCTCCAGAGGAACTGGTTGGCCACTGTGTGAGACAGGATGCTGGACTAGATGGACCCTCACTGGTCTGACCCAGCAGGGCTCTTCTCATGTTCTTATGAAGGCCTCGGCCTCTCTGCCCTCTTGTCGGCCCTCCAGAGGAACTGGTTGGCCACTGTGTGAGACAGGATGCTGGACTAGATGGACCCTCACTGGTCTGACCCAGCAGGGCTCTTCTCATGTTCTTATGAAGGCCTCGGCCTCTCTGCCCTCTTGTCGGCCCTCCAGAGGAACTGGTTGGCCACTGTGTGAGACAGGATGCTGGACTAGATGGACCCTCACTGGTCTGACCCAGCAGGGCTCTTCTCATGTTCTTATGAAGGCCTCGGCCTCTCTGCCCTCTTGTCGGCCCTCCAGAGGAACTGGTTGGCCACTGTGTGAGACAGGATGCTGGACTAGATGGACCCTCACTGGTCTGACCCAGCAGGGCTCTTCTCATGTTCTTATGAAGGCCTCGGCCTCTCTGCCCTCTTGTCGGCCCTCCAGAGGAACTGGTTGGCCACTGTGTGAGACAGGATGCTGGACTAGATGGACCCTCACTGGTCTGACCCAGCAGGGCTCTTCTCATGTTCTTATGAAGGCCTCGGCCTCTCTGCCCTCTTGTCGGCCCTCCAGAGGAACTGGTTGGCCACTGTGTGAGACAGGATGCTGGACTAGATGGACCCTCACTGGTCTGACCCAGCAGGGCTCTTCTCATGTTCTTATGAAGGCCTCGGCCTCTCTGCCCTCTTGTCGGCCCTCCAGAGGAACTGGTTGGCCACTGTGTGAGACAGGATGCTGGACTAGATGGACCCTCACTGGTCTGACCCAGCAGGGCTCTTCTCATGTTCTTATGAAGGCCTCGGCCTCTCTGCCCTCTTGTCGGCCCTCCAGAGGAACTGGTTGGCCACTGTGTGAGACAGGATGCTGGACTAGATGGACCCTCACTGGTCTGACCCAGCAGGGCTCTTCTCATGTTCTTATGAAGGCCTCGGCCTCTCTGCCCTCTTGTCGGCCCTCCAGAGGAACTGGTTGGCCACTGTGTGAGACAGGATGCTGGACTAGATGGACCCTCACTGGTCTGACCCAGCAGGGCTCTTCTCATGTTCTTATGAAGGCCTCGGCCTCTCTGCCCTCTTGTCGGCCCTCCAGAGGAACTGGTTGGCCACTGTGTGAGACAGGATGCTGGACTAGATGGACCCTCACTGGTCTGACCCAGCAGGGCTCTTCTCATGTTCTTATGAAGGCCTCGGCCTCTCTGCCCTCTTGTCGGCCCTCCAGAGGAACTGGTTGGCCACTGTGTGAGACAGGATGCTGGACTAGATGGACCCTCACTGGTCTGACCCAGCAGGGCTCTTCTCATGTTCTTATGAAGGCCTCGGCCTCTCTGCCCTCTTGTCGGCCCTCCAGAGGAACTGGTTGGCCACTGTGTGAGACAGGATGCTGGACTAGATGGACCCTCACTGGTCTGACCCAGCAGGGCTCTTCTCATGTTCTTATGAAGGCCTCGGCCTCTCTGCCCTCTTGTCGGCCCTCCAGAGGAACTGGTTGGCCACTGTGTGAGACAGGATGCTGGACTAGATGGACCCTCACTGGTCTGACCCAGCAGGGCTCTTCTCATGTTCTTATGAAGGCCTCGGCCTCTCTGCCCTCTTGTCGGCCCTCCAGAGGAACTGGTTGGCCACTGTGTGAGACAGGATGCTGGACTAGATGGACCCTCACTGGTCTGACCCAGCAGGGCTCTTCTCATGTTCTTATGAAGGCCTCGGCCTCTCTGCCCTCTTGTCGGCCCTCCAGAGGAACTGGTTGGCCACTGTGTGAGACAGGATGCTGGACTAGATGGACCCTCACTGGTCTGACCCAGCAGGGCTCTTCTCATGTTCTTATGAAGGCCTCGGCCTCTCTGCCCTCTTGTCGGCCCTCCAGAGGAACTGGTTGGCCACTGTGTGAGACAGGATGCTGGACTAGATGGACCCTCACTGGTCTGACCCAGCAGGGCTCTTCTCATGTTCTTATGAAGGCCTCGGCCTCTCTGCCCTCTTGTCGGCCCTCCAGAGGAACTGGTTGGCCACTGTGTGAGACAGGATGCTGGACTAGATGGACCCTCACTGGTCTGACCCAGCAGGGCTCTTCTCATGTTCTTATGAAGGCCTCGGCCTCTCTGCCCTCTTGTCGGCCCTCCAGAGGAACTGGTTGGCCACTGTGTGAGACAGGATGCTGGACTAGATGGACCCTCACTGGTCTGACCCAGCAGGGCTCTTCTCATGTTCTTATGAAGGCCTCGGCCTCTCTGCCCTCTTGTCGGCCCTCCAGAGGAACTGGTTGGCCACTGTGTGAGACAGGATGCTGGACTAGATGGACCCTCACTGGTCTGACCCAGCAGGGCTCTTCTCATGTTCTTATGAAGGCCTCGGCCTCTCTGCCCTCTTGTCGGCCCTCCAGAGGAACTGGTTGGCCACTGTGTGAGACAGGATGCTGGACTAGATGGACCCTCACTGGTCTGACCCAGCAGGGCTCTTCTCATGTTCTTATGAAGGCCTCGGCCTCTCTGCCCTCTTGTCGGCCCTCCAGAGGAACTGGTTGGCCACTGTGTGAGACAGGATGCTGGACTAGATGGACCCTCACTGGTCTGACCCAGCAGGGCTCTTCTCATGTTCTTATGAAGGCCTCGGCCTCTCTGCCCTCTTGTCGGCCCTCCAGAGGAACTGGTTGGCCACTGTGTGAGACAGGATGCTGGACTAGATGGACCCTCACTGGTCTGACCCAGCAGGGCTCTTCTCATGTTCTTATGAAGGCCTCGGCCTCTCTGCCCTCTTGTCGGCCCTCCAGAGGAACTGGTTGGCCACTGTGTGAGACAGGATGCTGGACTAGATGAGTGGGAGGGCTTCTAGTGTCCTGGCCCCACTGCTGGACCTCCTGATGGCCCCTGGTATTTCTGGCCACTGTGTGACACAGAGTGTTGGACTGGACGGGCCACTGGCCTGATCCAATATTGGCTTCTCTGATGTTCTTAAACCTTGTTGGTCTTCAAGGTGCCGCTGGACTCAAGACTGTGTTCTACATAAATAAATGGACACCTTAGAATAGAAAAACACAATCAGATAACGTGGCAGCAACTATTATGGGAAGGGTGTGTGTTTGTGTGAATGGAAGCTAGAGAGGAGAGCAGGAAGGCGGAGGGTCTTACTTCTCTGACACATGGGCCCTCGGTAACCGGGCGCGCATTCGCAAGTGCCATCCTCTGGGAAGCAGGATCCTCCATTCTCACAGTTGCAGGGGATGGAGCAGTTCGGTCCCCAGCGACCCTGCGGACAGATGCTATCGCAGTGGATACCTGGAGAAAAGTAAAGGCACAGATTAGCTTTACAGAATCGCCTTCACTGCAGACTGTGACAGCAGCCATGAAATTAAAAGACGCCTGCTCCTTGGGAGGAAAGTGATGGCGAACCTAAACAGCATGATAAAAAGTAGAGACATCACCCTGCCAACAAAAGTCCATATGATCAAAGCAATGGTATTCCCAGTAGTCATGTATGGCTGTGAGAGTTGGACTATAAGGAAGGCCGAGCACCGAAGAATAGATTCTTTTGAACTATGGTGCTGGAGAAGACTCTTGAGAGTCCCTTGGACTGCAAGGAGATCAAATCAGTCCATCCTAAAGGAAATCAACCCTGACTGTTCCCTGGAAGGCCAGATAATGAAACTGAAGCTCAAATACTTTGGCCACCCAATGAGAATGGAGCCCTCACTGGAGAAGACCCTGATGCTGGGAAAGATGGAAGGTCAAAGAAGACGGGGACGGCAAAGGATGAGCTGGTCAGACAGTGTTATCAATGCAACGAACATGAAATTGAGCAAATTCTGGAGCACGACGGAAGACAGGAGGGCCTGGCGTGATGTGGTCCATGGGGTCGCGGAGAGTCGGACTCGACTGTGCAACTGAACAACAAGAACAACAACAAAAATGTCGGTCCGCAGTAGAATAGCCAGTTTTGAATCCAGTCGTACCATGGAGACCAACTAGATTTTCTGGGTGTAACATTTTGTGGGGGGGGGGTAGCAGAAGCTGGCAAGCAGCCAAGTGTCCAAACCGTTAAGTTTCCCAGGCAAGTTAATTTGCAGCTTGAGAAAGTCAACAAGGTCAGGCCAGAGATAACAGCCAGAAGCTAGACAGGTAAGAGCTGGGAAGAAGAAGAGGCGGTGCACACCCCCCCCCTTCCAGTTCTATGACAGGGCTACCTGACACAGATCTGTTATCCCCACCCTGCAAAGCTTGAAGCTGCAAAAACAACCCTGTACATACCATATATCAGTGTACAAGCAATGCACGAAGAGAGAGGGTCAACCTTGCATCAAGCACATCAGCCCAGAGTCAACATCAGCATCAACCACATGCTCAGGAACACGTGAAGAGCACCCTTATTTGTCGCCACTCTTCCCTCTAAGCTGAGTTAGTGTGAGCTAGGCTCATAGTTTTTAAGACTCCGGCTCACACATTTTTGTCTTGGCTCAGGAAGGATGGGGCTCCAGAGCAAACTAATTTATGCAGCAGCCAAATCGCTCGCTCACAACTTTAATGCCAGCAGCTCACAGAGCAGAATTTTTGCTCACAAGACTCCACGGCTTAGAGGGAACATTGCTTGTTGCCAAGTTTCCGTGGCATCGTTAGGGGCCTTTACTGTGCCGGGTTTTCGCTGCAGCTCATGTTCTTCATTGCACACCTTCCACCCCCACCCCCACCCCACATACACATAGTGCTGCTCTCCTGGTTTTTCTTTGAGTTTTTCCTGTGGTTTTTTTCAGACCAAAGGTGGTAGGACTGTAAAAACTCGGGGAGGGGGGGAAGCTATGGGAGAATGACAACTGGCAAAGGGAAAACGCGTGCAATTAAGAAGCAGAACTGCAGGAAGAACCCGGTGTGAGAAAGCCCTAGTTTGCAAATGCAGGTAGCTCCCTCTAAGCTGTGGAGTCTTGCGCACAAAAATTCCACTTGGTGAGCTACTGGCCTTAAAGCTGTCAGTGAGTGATTTGGCTCCTGCGTAAATTAGTTGGCTCTGGAGCCCTCCGTCCTGAGCTGAGACAAAAATCTGTGAACTGGAGGCTAAAAAACTGTGAGCTAGCTCACAGTAACTCAGCTTAGAGGGAACACTGGAAGGCATATCCCCTGGAAGCACATCTGTTGTACATACAGGAGTGCAGAGGCTTCCCATAAACCGACTGATGAGTTCCTAGCAGAAGGAAGGTTTGAATTACTGCTTTAACAGCCTGTGGATAGTACCTTACAGGCGATAGGAAGCATCGCACCAATTTGCGGATAATTAAAGCTACAGGCTGGGCCCCTGCCCTACAAAGCACTTAGCATAATGGCCGATCCCACCTTGAATTCCGCCTCCTGCAATCGAGTCAATTTGAATGCTTAGCAAACAGGCAGAGAGGCAGGGATGCAAATCCCCACCCCAAACGCCTCCCAGGGCAATAGTTTGGCATTTATTAAGATGCTCAAACCTTCCAGAATGCACCGTGTGTGCATAGCCTCTTGCAGGTGATTTAAAAGATGCGTCCTCGTGATAGTCTCCCTAATGTGTGACATTTCAATAAGGGCATCTCCTGTTTCTCTTGCCAACAAAGGTACTACAATGCCCAGGACCCAATCCAACAAATCCACAGTGGTCTAAGTAGTGAAGAGTGTGGTACAAAACCAATTCTGCTTCTAGAGTGCTGAAGCAAGATAAAACAACCTTTCCTTAACTTCTCCCCCTCTTTTCCACACTTTTCTCATACATTTCTCCCTCCCTCCATGTAATTTTTCTGTGTCTCCCCCCATTAATTTTCAATCCTTGGTCTCCAGTCTTGTCATCCCTGTCCTGCTTGGCAACAGAATATACTTAATAGTAGTACGGTAGCAGGGACCACGGTGGCTCCGAGGTTAAGACGCTGAGCTGCAGACCGGAAGGTTGGTAGTTCGGCAGTTCAAGACCCGAGTGCCGTGTGACGGAGTGAGTTCCTGTCTCTGGCCCCAGCTCCTGCCAACCTAGCAGTTCCAAAGCAAGAAATGGCAAGTAGATAAATAGGTACCACTTCGGTGGGAAGGTAACAGTGTTCTGTGCGCCCTGGCATTTAGTCATGCCAGCCACATGACCACGGAGAAGTCTTCAGACAGCGCTGGCTCTTCAGCTTGGAAACGGAGATGAGCACCGCCCCCTAGAGTTGGATTCGACTGGCTTTTGAGCAAGGGAAACCTTTACCTAGTACAGTGGCAAACCTCTGTTAATATTATGAACAGAAGGGGGGGGATTAATATTTCCCATGACTGACAGCTTGATTCTTTCATTACTATAGTTCCATTACTATAGATTATGGTATTTGGTTTAGATTAGGCTCATATGGGGGGGAGGTGAAATCTTTGCCCGGGGGGCACATTGGTAGCCCTGCTCCATCAAATACCACTTTTATGGATTCGGGCCATCATTAGGGGAGGGTTTCTTAATGTTATCTTATACACTGTATACACAGCCTCACCTTTTCTTAGTAGCAACAACCAGATGGGGCATTTTGAGGTTGAGCGAACAGTAGAGGGGAAAGGATTAACTCCCTACCGCATGCTGGGGCCCTATTCTGAATCAGGGTACCTGATATTTAGCTGCTGAAACAAAACTTAGGGGGAGAAAATCCAGAGGCTCAGTCATGGATTTCCAACCTCTGCAGCTACTATGAGTCATGGTTTTTGTGGTCCTCGGGCTAGCCAAACACATTTAAGTACTGGGCATTGGACTGCATCATGGGGGTGGTAGTATTAAAGTGGCACAAACAGCTGGCTCAGACACACGGCTCCATTGCTGAATTTCCTCCATGCGGCGGCCCTTGGGCTGCCTCTTGCCTAAACTGGCACAGAGGAAACGGCGTTTCTAGCACAAAGGGGGTTTAAGCGGCACTGAAATCACAGTAGCACATCCTGAACAAACAAATGAGCCATGGACTCGACAAATAACAACATGAATTTCAATAAGCCTGCCTGCAGCTTCGGAGCACTCTTCCGCTTTGATGTGAACAGACCATTTTTACCCCCAAATCTTCCTTCTAATTAACTCTGATGGCAACCTCAGTTCACACTGCAGGGCCGGGGAAGACGTCCAGGAAAGAAAAATGCATCACATCGTGCCAAGAAATAAAAAGAACTTCCACTGTGCAAGTCCTCTCTTCCGCAGGCAGCTGGACTTTTTAAACATAGTTCTGGCAAGGGTCATTTTCTGCAGGAGCACACAGGAGCGGAGCTCCGGCAGTAAAGAGCCTGGGGGCGGGCACATGCAACAAGCCCCGCCCCCTACTCCCAGCAGCCCTCAGTCAGAGCAAGAAGCAGCCAGGTAAGTTGCAGAGCCCCCCGGTCCAAAACAGTCCAGTGGCACCTTTAAGACCAAGTTTTATTCAGGTACAAGCTCTCCCTCCTCTGGGAGGACAGATCTGCACGTCCCCCCCCCAAATACCTCCAAGGCGCACGGAACTCTGTTACCTTCCCACCGAAGTGGTGCCTATTTCTCTACTTGCAATTTCTTGCTTTCAAACTGCTAGGTTGGCAGGAGCTGGAACTAGAAATGGGAGCTCACTCCATCATGCGGCACCCGGGTCTCGAACTGCTGAACTACTGACCTTCCACATAGCCTGCAGTTCAGCGTCTTAACCACTTGAGCCACTGCAGCTCCCGGTTCTGGGGTACACAGTTCATAACCAATACCCCCTCTAAGCTGTGGAGTCTTGTGAGCAAAAAATCTACTTTGTGGGCTACCGGCATTAAAGTTGTGAGCGAGCGATTTGGCTACTGCATGAATTAGTTTGCTCTGAAGCCATCCCTCCTGAGCTAGGACAAAGCGAGCTCACACTAACTCAGCTTAGAGGGAACACTGTTCAAAACGGAGAAGCAGGTTGCTGCCTATCAGTTATGTATGACCAACCACCCGGGGGACATCTGCCTTGCAGAGCAAAAGCAGGAGTTGCCGAGCCTCTAGCGGGTTGCAATGGCTCACAAAACTGCCTCGTACTGAATCAGGCCACTGGTCCATCACAGTCGGTATTGCCTGCTCATACTGGCACCCGCTCTCCAGCATCTCAAGACAAAGGTCTTTCACATCACCCACTGTCTGGTCTTTCTAACCGGTGATACCTGGGATTGAACTTGGGACCTCCTGCATTCAAAGCAGAGGCTCTTCCACTGTGCTATAAAGCTTCCCTAAATGTCTGCTTTATACTGAGTCAGACCCTTGGTCTATCAAGGCCAGGGTCGCCTACTCAGACTGTCAGCCGCTCTCCAAGGTCTCAGGCAGAGGTTGCTCACATCACCTA